CCCCGAAAATAAGGGTTTGGATTGTTATGATGATGTTCCAGAAGATGATGACATGACTGTCATTGAATAAATAAGTAAATGTACCATAGATTTTTTGTACATGGAAATAATGGTAGTAACAAGACATTCTTGATACTGTAGGATTCAGTTTGTCTGGTTATGCTGGTTTGTGATGACAACTACAACCATACCATATACAGGTAATAAATTTCCTTTTTTGTTGTTCAACAATAAATGTGTGCCATATTCTTCTTCATGGAAAAATAAGATATCCCCTGAAAATAAGACCTAGCGTATCTTTGGGAGCAAAAATTAATATAAGACACTGTCTTATTTTCGGGGAGACAGGGTAGAATACTAGGCACATGAGTGTTTTGGGATTCCCAGTGGGAGTTTGAACCATAGACGTTTTACATAAAGGAAATCATTTTACATGAAGGAAACCATTTTCCATAAAGGAAATCAAAGAAGAGGGTAGAGGAGAGAAAAAGTAGAGCATGAAAGGTCAGACACTTGATATATGAGGGGCTACCCTCCAAAATTCCGGAATCTTGCTTGGTGGAGCTGAGTTTTTGGAGTATGCATTTCCCCGCCGCTAGGCGAGCATCCAGCCACCCGCTATGAGTTAGTGCACCCAGTGGCGCTTCCTGGGAAGGCTCTCTTTGGTCACAGTGAATTTTTTGGTACAAGCAGTTTTGCCCGAACCTTGTTTTTTTGTGATGGCTGATTTAAGAGAACAGTGTGTGCAGCTGTGAAATTTTGTTTCCCGCTTGGCAAAGAATGCCGCAAAAACTGTTGTGATGTTGAACACAGCTTACAAGGACAGCGCTATGGGGAAAACTTAAGTGTACGAGTGGTTTACATGTTTCAAAAAAGGTATAATGTCGATTGAGGACAAGCCTTGTTCTGGAAGTCTGTCAATTTCCCAAATAGACGAAAATGTTGACTCGTAGGGCATTTGTAATTCGTTTCACCAGGTCTGACTGTTAATCAAGCTTTCTATTTAGAGAGAGGCTCTGAAAAGATTGCGTAACAGTGTGCGACAAAAAAGGCCTGATTTGTGGCAGATGGGGGACTGGTTTTGCCACCATGACAATGCACCTGCTTACGCAACCATCTCAGTGAGCCAGGTTTTGGCAAAAACCAGCATGGCTCTTTTGCCCCCCACACCTGACCTCGTTCCAAATGACTTCTTTTTGTTCCCTCGAATGAAGAGGGACATGAAATGACAGCAATTTGAAAATATAGCAGAAGTGAGGGAAAAAAAGAGGGAGGTGCTGTCAGACATCCAAACAGATGAGTTTGAAAAATGTTTCCAAGAATGGAATCGCAGATTTGACAAAGGTATTCATTGTAATGGAGAGTACTTTGAAAGCGATAAGGTTGTCTTGTAAAAAAAAATTAAATAGATAACTTTGAAAACATGTGTTTTTTTGTGGGGGTGGGGGTGGGGGTGGGTACTCCTTCATAGTGTATAAAATATGATTTAAAACCAAGCAAAACAAAACCAGAAAACTCCATGGAACTGGAAGTAAAGTGACTTTTGTGAATTTGGTAAAATATTTATTCTCTCTGGAATTGTTTGTGTGAATAATGGACTTGGTTAGATGATCCATAAGTTGATCATAACTGCAGAAATCTTTCATTTTATTACCTACCCTCTCAACAGCTTAGTTCTTTCTGACCAGAGACCTGGTGCTGTAATAGTTATAAACAAGAGACACAGAAAGAATTGGCATCCTGGTAGCAGGCAATCTAAGTCTAGCACCAGATTGGGGCAGAAGCTTGGGTGTGTTACCATTGAACCTATGTGAACAACAATGGCAGTCAACTCTACATCTGTGTCTACCTTGTTGCCCTTCAGGCAATCTGGAAGTGCTAATTGCAGTCAGTCCCTCTGCGTCTTGGAGATCTTGTGAGGATTATTACTAAGACGCAATTGCAAAAACACATTGTGAATATGGGCTGCCATAGAGATGCCACTAAACAAAAAAAAATAACAACACTAATGATGGCTTTGCTCATTTGGGAACCTGTATTGTCATCGTTTTCACACATTTGTTCACTGAAGAAGACATAGTATGTAGGGAAATAGTGGTTTGAAAACGTCAGTGGAAAGGAAAATTCCACTGGAAGGCTACCATTGAGTCTCTGATGGTATTTAGATGTCGGGAGCAATGCCTAGCATCTCTTTGGTAATCCAGGGAATCACCCTTGTTGGTACCATCACTGGTAACACCCATCCTGTTCTCTGCTCACTCCTCCATTGCCTGGGCCTTTCCCATCTGTGGTTGTTGAATTTCTCAAAAGGCGTCTCTAGACAGCAACTTAGGATGGAGTTATCTCCAAACCTTTTCTTGCACATGGCCTACTTGGGTCAGGTTTTTGTAGGAGAAATAGGGTAGGCAAAGCTCAGTGTCATCTCTTTCTAGGGATTCTTGCAAATACCTTTGACGTAGCTCCCATGCAATCTGGGGGATGCAGGGGGCTGTCTTGTGACAAGAATTTTCTGTGTCTTCATATACCTACTTCTAGACTTTTCAGAGGCCTCGGCAACCCCTTCTCGAATAATTTTACCTAAATTATTTAGCAAAAATCTACTGTGAACTTATTCCATGCCAGGAATTTCTTTCATGAGTTACACATTTTGGAATGTAAGATTAGATGAGAAGTGTTGGCAGGTGAGTGGACATGCTTTATCAGCACAGAGGTGATGGGTCCCAAGAATCATGAGGATTCTTTAATTTGAAGACTTCTTTAGAGTTCACAAAGAACTCTCACCTATACTGCCCGACTGGCCTCTGATTGGCCCTGCAAGAGGTAGCTATTCCCATTCCTTTTTTTGTAGCTAAGGATCATTGAAGAGATTAAATGACTAACCCCAAATCACAAAGCTGCTAGAGCCAGCACTTGAACTCTGGTTTCTGATTCCAAGTCCAACCCTCTCTTCCCATGGACATAGATGTTTAAGTCTCTGATCACCATAAACTCTTAAGTGAAAAGATTGAAATAAGTCTTTCTCAACTCAGGAACCTCTGGTGGCACTGTCGGTTAGACATTGGGTTTCTAACCACAAGGTCAGTGGTTCAATTCCATCAGTCATTCCCTAAGAGAAAGATGAGATTGTTTGCTGTCTTAAAAATGTAGAGACTCTAATTTATAAATTTTCAAGGGCTCATGATGGAGGGGGGTGGGGATGGAGGGGAAAAACAAGGAGCTGATACCAAGGGTTCAAGTAGAAAGAAAATGTTTTGAGAATGATGATGGCAACAAACATACAAATGTGCTTGACCCAATGGATATATGCATGCATTGTGATAAGAGTTGTACAGCCCCCAGTAAAATGATTTAAAGAAGAAAAAAAATGTAGAGGCTCTAGATCCATGTGGGGACCCAGCAAATGGATTACGGGCTTCTGCTGTCACCCCTAGCCTTCTGCAAATCCAGTGTTTACAATTTAAGCTCTGATACCAGTCCCTCTATGGGATTTGAAGTTTGTTATTTACAGTTCTTGGGTTGCATGGCTGGTGTGTTTCTTCCATGTGCACTTGGTTGATACTTCATTTAAATGGCTGCTTGTTTTAAGACAAGCCTTTCTAGGGAGGGGAAAAGCCTTCCTATCTGACAGAGAGCCTTGTGAACTCAATCACGGCAGCTGTAGCTAAGTTACAATGCAATACTTATATCACGTGATTTCCTTTTGACCCATCTAAAAGTTGTTTCAGTTTTTAATTTATGCTTTTTGAATGAGGTTTTTCTATGTTTTAGCTCATCATTGCTGTCGAGCCTTTGTTGTTGTTTGTTTGTTTGCTTCCTCT